AAATTATTCAAAAATGTACTCATAAATTTAAATTAATTGTTCTATAAGAACATTTAAAATTTATGCGATTTCATATTGTTATCGTAAAAAAACTGCTTTATGTTTTCTATGGATTACGGGTGTAATATTGGAATTAAACGCTTGTGAATTGACCATCAAAATAAATTATTTATATTTATTGATTTTGTAAAAGACTGGGTACTAAGTGTTTTTTCTATTTAGGCCTCTTTCTACGTCACCAAATTTATTTTACTAAATTTACGCTTTGTGCGAAAATCAATTAAGTAATGTTTTTCCAATATTGTTCATCAAATAAAATCTAAAATACATACATTAATTTTTTGAAATCTAACCTATAAAAATATTTAAACGAATCAGTAAAATATAAAAACGATTATGGTTGATTTTACGAATGTTGTTAATTACTTTAAAAGGGTTTTAAGTCACATATCGACTTTCGAGCGTCTTTTTATCTATCACTGAGCATTTGGAGACGTCCAAAATTAAGGATCAATAAGTCGTATCGTTGACTAAGAACTCAAGTTCGATGTTCGAGTGATATCAATACTATGTTTAAGTGTAGACTTACTAATAAGGCACACTAACGACGACTAAAGAAAATTAATTTAACAAGCTATTGAACTCGGCAATTAATTCACAACCAAAAACATTTTAACACCATTGACAAATAATTTTGAATAGATCTTTTGGATTGAATACCTAAATAGAAGAAGACCAGCATATTTCAAGTAACAAAATGTGATTGTTTTAAAAAATATCCCCTAAACTTACAACTCTGCAACAGAGTCTGTTGAATGATAATATAAATGATTGACTTTGTATCAATTTTGAACTCATCCCATCCATCTGTATGGGAATTAATTTATTAATTGAAAAATAAAGTCATATATGGTTGCAGATAAATCAGCTAATCAAGAAAACTAAAGGTTGACTAAAAATAGAATTTAAATAGACTTTAAAAGACATAGTCCATAATTTCTAACTTCAACTTTATATTTAGTATAATTTTAATTTATATTTTAAATTAATTTTTTTTTGAAACTTTAAACTTATGCTGTAAGTTTTTATATAATTGTTGACATAATATCTATTGAGGTGTAAGCGCGAATCGATCCAAAATGTAGTTTGTTTAGACCCTGTTGGGAGCTTAATCCTATTAATGTTGGTAATACAGTGTGAATATTATAACATTTATGAGTATTTTTAATTTTTTCAATCCCCCCCCCCCCCCCATAGTTTTTAAATTAATTTATACACTATTATGTGTAGTAATGTACATTATCAATAGAAAAAGTCACATACAAAATACATGATAAATAATTGATAATGAACCATATAATTTAAAAACATTCGCTTCAAAGTCATCAGGTTTTTATCTTACGCAGGTAAAAATAATTTTTTTCCCAAGTGGTATTAATGATAGTCGCTCAAACAGACTATTCATTGTTTTTGCCAAAATTATTACCTTCACTCAAATGACCACATCGATTGCCATTTGATAAAAGAAAAAGAAAAAAATGTCTGGTATCAGAATGATACAATGACCTTTTAGGTTTTCGTACTATATAGTACATATTATATAGAATAGTATGATATATATTTCTCTTGACTATAGTTTTTATTTAACGTCCTTTAACCTTCATTTCACACAGTATTATTTTTCAATCTAAATTATTTCCGTAAAACGATTCAACAAAAACAACGAACGACTTTGACCTAACATAACAAGTTTCTCCCCTTCCCGATCACCACAGAACTTTAGACAGATATAATGTATTGTTTCTTTAATGAAGGAAACATTGAAAAATCATATCCAGCTTATACGCTCAACAATTTACGGAAATGTCGATACATTCTTAACCATTTTGTAATCAAACCGCAAACGGAATAATAATTGGGTACAAACCAAAATGTAAAAATAATGTTGCTTTAATTTTAAACGTAGGTATTAAAACACTAGAATTCATACATCATAAAAAAATTTTAAAAACATATCAATACATAGTATCATTAACTCAAAGAACTATGATACTCGTATGGTTTTATAAGGAGCGCTTATATTTTATATCACATATGTACAAAAAATGTTTTAGAAATTGTATCCACGATTGAAAATTGGAAATTAAATTGGCTGTATACATATTTAACTAAAAATGTAATCGAATAAAATTTACTTTGGGATTATTTACACACGAGTATGCGGTAGCACTAATAAAAATATATGACAAAAATACATTTTTAATAAATAAGAAACATGATATTTTTCACTAGTTTGATTTTAATTTGTTAACTAATACGTTTTAGTATCTATAACATACCTAATAACTAAAAGTAGGCATCTAAAATAGTAGGTATCTAGTGATAGAATTTTATCGTCCGTTTTATTATACTTTTAAATTAATTTATCGCTGTACTCTAAATTTAGTTAAAAAAAACAATTTTTGAATACACCCATCAAAAGAATTTTAAGAACATTTTTGATTCTAAATAAAATGATTTAATCAACCAGCGACGAAAAACGTACGGTTTCTGGGCCATAATTAAATAAACCATTAGTTTCGAGCTTACAACATAACTGAATAGTAAAATATTATCGAAAAACATACCATCACAAGTGTCATGTCATATTATAAACAATGCAAAATACCTACAAAGATTATTGTGGTCGAAAGAACAATCGTATGGATATAACATCCCCGTGAACGGTCGGACAGAATAACTTTGATAAAATATTATAATATTAAACGCCCAGAATAATATGGAAGGCACCTACTTTTGAATACAGATTCTTTTGAAGTTTTTAAAGTCTTTCCGGACAAAGGTACAATCTTGAGTTAGAATCTATTGCGATCCCGTTTCTCGGAGTAAAATATTTTTGAATATATCTAATTATCTAAACAAGAAAAAACGAGCAGTTTAGCCACATTTTGTCTGTATTTCATATTTTATTACACATGTTATCGGAAATCGGGAAACAACTAAGTTATTATTATTATTTATAAAATATAAACGATAATTTTAGTATAACAAAATTATTTTCAAAAAATATTTATATCTAATCATGCATACTACGGTCTCGTAGGATTAAAATATTTATTACAATAATATCACGTATTATAATATGTCAATCTTTGTAATATACTCTGTATAGCAGTAAATACATTATCGCAGTATGTCACCAGTCACCATAATTGTTATACCTGACATCTTTACAAATTACGATTTCCGATAGACATTGTCAACGGACCGTCACAGTGCCGTGTCATGGAATATTCCGCCTGAGGTCAGATTTCAAAATGCCACCCTTCACCACTCTTCTATCCATCGTGAAAAATACATTTTTTCCTCGACCGTTTCCTGAAACAGCGCCGCTCAATTGTAATCCCTTCCACTCGTATAAATATAAATAATAAAAAGCTGTGTGATAAAATATAAAAAGGAACCATTGTCTCAGCAAAATCCTTCTTCAATGAACGACTGAACGAGAATGAACTAACTCAACAAACTAATAATTACTACTAGTCTTACTAGGTAGTGAACAAATCAAACACATACAACTGTAAATATGAAATATGAAATTCAATAACCTTTAAGTTGCAATAAGGGGAAACACTATAAATATCATTGTGTATCAGAATGTTTACTCTGCTGAATGAGTATATAATATGGTGATTTACCAAGAATATTCACTCCTATTTTTTCCTTAAATAATGAAATTGTTCAAATTCTGATTTTTTAAATTTTTAAATACACTCAACGACCACATTTTCGAATCATTTTATTTATTTTTATTACTTAGGCAGTGTCCTGTGGAGAAACAAATTTCTGTTTTTCAAATGTGACCCCCCCCCCCCCTTGTTTTTACTGTAAACTATTCTATGGATAATTTTTTTTTTAATTTTTATCAACCTAATTCAAAATTCGAACTAGTTTCACGAGTATGTTTGAACTGAAGATAATAGTCTAGAAGAATAGTTTTACAAAAATGTAAACAAGTTGTAAAGTTGGATCTAGTATTTATTATACTTAAGCCAATTTTAGAAATTAATAATATTGATAGATAAATGACTAAAATAGATGGATTTTAAACTAAAATTATCAAATCATCATAACCCCCGTATCTTATTAAACCATTATACCATAGACCTTTTATCCTTAGAACACAAAGTTAAATTTTATTCTGATACTTCCAATTTTTCAGGAAAATTATCCACTGAATAACTCATACTTGAAAGTGGTGTTCTTATTTTAAAAAGACAGAAGTTTAAATCCCTACAGAACATTCATTAGGTGGTACAACAAATCTAAAGAATCCGAAAATGATATGGTAATTAAAGCGTAGGTTTATTTAAAATGTTCAAAAACTAGATTTTGAATAAATTTATTATTGAAATTAAATAGGGGTGAGCATGATTGGCGAATCGCTCTAAATATACCCTCGTATTTTGTATTAAAAAATAAAACAAACGAAAATAGAAATCTTTAATATGGCGAGTTGGGCGATTTTACTTTTATTCAAAATCCACACAACGTTTGGATACTTGATATTCCCCCAAAAAATATCACATTTAGCCGTTAAAGTAAAATAAGTATATACCTTTTGTTACAAAAGCCATAATAGTATATTTTTAGTATATTTTGTGATAATTAAAAACATTTAAAGACACATTGTATTCCTTTATATTAATATTATCGAATTCCCATCGATCATAGACTTAGAAACCTGGCACTTTACCAAAATTTAAATTATTTTATAGATACTACGTCGATTTGTTCAAAGTAGTGAGACTTTTTTTTTATTATTGTTGACTATTTAAAATTTAAATATAAAATAACTCATACAATTACTTGTATACCTAACATATATTTATAGTGAATTCTGCATACACATATTATTTATGAGTTAACGAGAACAAATAGCAACAATATTATGCATTTAAATTGCAGGCGTTGTATTTTTATAAATTTTTTCGTTTCAGGTAAATCAACCGGGCTAGTGACCAATACTCGGATTACTCATGCTACACCGTCAGCGTTATACGCACACTCTCCTAGCAGATATTGGGAAGATGACGGAAAAGTGCCAATACCTTCAAGAAAATCGTGTAAGGACATTGCCCGCCAATTAGTGGAGGACGACCCAGGTCGATTTATAAACGTGAGTTATTATTATTGTTTTTAATTTTTTTTCCAAGCCTATTAATGTCATTACCTATATATATTATGGTCATACACATTCTGAGGTGATGACGTAGAGTTAATCAGTGGCAATATTTGGACACGCGACACATACATTTACGTATTGAAGTGCATGTTATATAGTGATTTGGTCAGTGGTCTGACTTTATGTCTGAGACCTTAATGGCCAATTCATTTTAACTTTGTAGCAAAATCGCTTCGTATTTTCCACAAAATTGGCAAAACATATTTGGAACAATAACAGTTACCCTTGAAGTAAGTGCTAACCCGCGCCCACGTAACCATCATGTTGATTAGTAATCCGATAGCACCAACCAATAATTGTTGATAAATTATAATTAAATGAAAATACAAAATAGAACATTTTATAGGTCGGTATTATAGCAATATTATGAGGGGTAGGTTATAATTTGAGCAACACTAGTTTTTTTTAATGATACACGCGACTGGCTGAAGAAGTATAATAGTTGTCCCGCTCAAAACATGTTGTACATTTGTAAGACGGAGACAACACGTCATGCGGGTCTAGCGTTCTCTAAGGTATTCTGAATCCCAGAGTGCAATAACTGCTATTATTTCATAAACATTCAATTTCACCTCAGTTATTGCAATTTTAAAGTGCAAACTGTTGTCTAAATTAATTTTAATTATTCGTTTATTATTTTTTTGAGCTAGGATCTAAACATACATAAACTCAGTATAGTAAATACGAAAAAAAAAAAGATTTTGCGGACTAGGGATGCCATTACGCTAATACAGGATATTAAAGGTATCTTACATAAAGATATTCGAATAACAATCTTGTTAAGTGGCGTCCACAGATATTTTCAATGTGAGGGGTTAAATTTAAAAAAAAAACAATATATAATATGTATAAATATCAAAATTTCATTTAAATTGTGTTAATTTTTATATACCTACACGTATAGTAAAAAAATATAAGGGGGGCCTTAACTCAATCTCCCCCACACACAACCACTTGTACGTCACTGACCTCATTGGCTAGGTATTTACCTCTCGTTTATTTCTGTGTATTGATTTTTGATAGTGAAGCTGTATACAAGTTAAATATCCATAATGATAATAGTAAATTATTATTTCTTGCCTTAAATACAACACATAAATAAGTAATGAAATTTTTAAACGATGACTTTCAGTTTTTAGCTCTCTAATCACAACATCACTAATTATAAAAGCATTTGGTGAGTTTTCTTTTCTATTATAGTCTCTGACGTTATGTTTTATAGAAGCTACTTGTAAGTATAAAATAAAATACTTTTCAAGATTATATTAAAAGCAGTTTGTCAGCAGTTGCACTGAAATAAAATATTTTACAAGAAATGTTAATTACCCTTAAAAAAAGAAACTTCAAAGATGCTCTATTCACAATCCGCAAGTGGTGTACTAACAAAAAACAATAATACTGTTCGAACAGTGTTTCAAGTTTTTGTTTGTGAATATCATTCTTGACTTACATGGATCCAAACCAAATGAAACAAATTGTTAACTTAAAGTTTAATTTAACATAGAGCAAATTTTGTTTATGTTTAAGTTTGTACTAGTGTAAATCATGGTTTCGAATAAACCACAAAAAGACTACTTAACGTATATTTTAGGTATATAAACAGTATTAGTACAACTGACCATTTATAATTTCCTTGGGATAACTTGGCAGTGAGAACGTTTCATACTTTTGGTAGATTAAAGCAACCGAAACAAAAATATATAAAAATATGTCGACAACGAAGTTTGAGCCATTTGACAGGGCTGAGAATTATAAAGTCATATGTTCTAATAAAATAAATCTTAAGTTATCTTAAAAACAATGTAAGACTCTCGAAAACTTTTTAATTTTCTTAAAGTACCTATGTAAACTATGATATAATCACCAATATTATCCGCAAATATGTACATTTCACACATTAAAACATGGAGTCAACTCCTGACTTTAGTATATACAAGTCACATACAACGTATTTCCGGTGAAATTCAAAATGAAAAATTATAATAAAGTTTTATATTTAAAGTTTGAAGATAAGACATGACATATTTTGTTTTTTTTCGATCATGAAAAAAAAGGCCGCTTTGATAACTGAGCTATTACCATTACACATTTTAAGAATAAAAATATTTAGGACATTAAAAAAGCGTTTGAACATTACGATATTAAACAATATTTCCTAAATACATAGAAGTTGCATTCAATAAAAAAAGATTTAGAGTATGGTTACAAATGTATACAATAAATATTTAATTAATTATTTTAACAATGAGCTTGGTGTTTTGTAGGGTAATATAAAATAATAGTGATGATAATATTATAATGGTATAAATAATAATATTTTGTTTAAATTCTGGAAGCAAATATAGTTTTTGTAAAACAAATAAATAGTAATTATTAATTACACATCCCTTAAAATTCATAAACTATAATTTTTTAATCAACAAATGTATTTATATTTTACTACATCCATCAATTGTTTCATATTATTTGACATACGCTTAGAATGTATTAGAACAATTTTATGAATTATTTTTTTTTTTTATGTATTGCCTTATTATAATGGAGGAAGGAAACATAAAATGTAAAATGTACTTTCAAATTCAAACAGCTGATTTGTTTAATATTTCTTTGTCCGTTTTTAACTGTAAAATAATACATGCATAATGCATTTTCTGCACAAACAAAATGTCCTAATTCCAAACATAAACAAAAGTTTCATAAGGTCGTATTTAGAGAAAATAATAAAAAAAATTGATGACTGATGTTATGTTACTTAGAAGTTTAAATGATTAAACCATTTTTAATTATAAATTTCTAAAATGGTTTATTGTTAATTTTTAAATTTAAAAATCGTTGTTGACTTTTTAAAGGGAAAAAAGATGATTATTACCATTAAGTTATTGTACCCATCTAATCTCCGGTAAATGAATTTTCATTATTTTAAAATATTTATATTATATTATGATATAGGTGGTATCATGCATATTATAGAAAAATCAATAAAATAATAACAAGTCAATTAAAATGTAATACATTTATAGTGCGATATATTGTATGCTATTGTTCTAAAAAAATGTAGCGACAATCCTTTTTCCTTGTACGTTGAGTGACTTCTAGGTTACTACCTTATCTGGATTTTGAAATTTACCTATCTTTTTATTTGTGGGGGGGGGGGGGGAAGATTTCACTTTTCGGCCAAGACCAAGTTTAGCAAATGGCAATCTCCGTCCAACACAAAATGACTGAACAAATCATGAATGACAAAACTTAAATTATCATCGATCGACCACTAACGAGTGATCATTATATCGTTATCACTTATCACTTATTAGGTACTATATTATCTATTAAATATGAAATATTATACACTTTTTATCTACTTAAAAATGTATAACTGTCCATCGTCTGTTTATGTGCTGTCACTTGTAGCAATCCAAAATCGACATAATACCTAATATTATGAAAGTATATAATATAACTAAATATTATGTATATTTATTGCATAGGCACAACCCACTATTCAACACACTTATATACATAGAGCTATACATCTATATTTCAAAATATTAAAAGTTTTCAAATACCTACTCAAAGAAAATTAATTATGAATATTTGTTTTGGTGAAAATAATAAACTGGGAAAACGTATGGTAACTGCAATACAGATAGGGTATCGCACTGTATTTTTCCATGCATGCGTATTGGGTACATGTTTTTCTAATTCATAATTTTAAATATCTTAAAAATATTAGACACCTTGCAATTTATAGAAAATAAATTTAATATTATGAGAAGAATAAAGAACAAAATTTGGTAAAATATAGGTTATTGTGTTCAGGGTAAGGTAGACAAGACAATGTACAATGTGTAGGTATTTGATCATGCAATTAAGCAATATAGTTACATATTTCCGAAAACAAAAATAATAATTAACTTTTAAACACAATAATTGTTATTAAAATAAGTGGATTATAAATTCCACAGTGGCATTTTTATATTTTATTTAGCAATGACTGATGAGTGTTAAATATTATAATTAGAAGTGGTTACAACTTACAAATAATGTTGTATTTTGTATTATCTATTAAATTTGTGGTTAGAAGAATCAAAGTCACCACAAATGCCGTATAACTCTGATAGCTACTGTAAAAATATAATATAGAAAAAACTGTTCATTAGAAAATAAAAGCTGGTAAAATAGCACTTGAAGCAACTACATTATTTTCAGATCTGTAACATGAGTATTAAAAAAACTACTAGTAAATTAACAAAAAATCAAAACAATTTATTAAAGCTGCACCAATTTATGGTATATGAAAAAATATAGATACTGAAATTAAAATAAACGATTGGAATGAAATGATATTAAGTCGATTGTTTAAATTTACAAATATAAACACAAATTTAGCCCAAAATATTATATAAATTTACATTATTTTGAGTGATTGAATTACACAACATAAGTTTTTATTAAATTTATTCTACGTCAAATTAGTGTTACATAATACTTTATTAAATATTATATAACTTGAAATTTAAAAATGTATAAACCTACGCATTTATTTTCTATTTAGATAATAAAAATTATTCAAGTTTAAATTTATAATTGCCAGATTATTATATTTAAATGGGAGAATATGCTAATAGTAATGTTAATTGCCGAAAACTTTTTGTATAAATACGTTATTATACTACTCTAACTTATAATCTTTTTAAAGTAAAATTTATTTATTTGGGTAAACGTGCTTAAAGTTACCTCAAAGTTGTAGATTATTTTCATATACGTCAGTGTTTTTGCCATGTTTCTATCAGTCCAATTTGCCAGTTTATAATATATTGAGACTTTTTCACAAAAGTAAACTACAGATAACACTAATATATTTACTATACTTTATTAATAATTTACCAAACTTGTACTATGTACAATTGTTTAAATTTATATTTAATGGATAATTT